TTCAGAAAGGGAAGAAGGGGCAACGAGATGTATTCAAGGTAGGGGCACTTACACTTCATGTTCCATCCCCGGGAATGGCATCCTATCAGCAGGGATGATGTCCGAGGTTCTTACTCTGACAAATCGGCTCATCCATCCCCGATCTTGGTCTTCATCGATTCTCGCAAAGAATGTCTTAGTAGATCGAGGGTGAAGCTTGATTAAACCTTGGAAGAGATGGGGGTTGTACAATCTAACCAAGTGATCGAGGGTGAAGGTCATTCCCACGACCCGGTTGGAGAAATATCTGAGCATGTAAAGAATCCTCAAGAAATAAGGATAGATCTGACCGAGTGTTACTCGGTACTCACGACAAAAGTCGAGGATCACCGGATCTATCGACGGTGAAGAAGAATCTACGGGGCCTAGAGGGAAAGGGTATGTGTATACGCTGAGGAAGCCAGCTTTGTGTTGTACTATGCTTTCCTCAGGTTTGGGGATCTCCACTTGCACTGCCTCCCCCCATCCGCAGTCTATCTTTACCCTCTTCGTGTCGGTCACCACGCTGATATACCGAGACACGGGCTCGCATCGGCCCTGTGTAGAAGCGGGATTATTAATGGTAAAATCGGACACCGTATCGAAGTGGCCAGGGGTACATTGCTCGAACTTGGAGGTATTTTTGGTTTGCCCTTAGACGGACGTGATGAAGAAGTGGTACCCTCTTTCTGAGGTACCGTTTTGGAGGTTTTAGCCATAACTACAACTGAATTTCTGAGAAAGAAGATGAAGAAGCAAGCACAGAGAAGAGATGAATGCAGAAAGTGGTGAACTTAGCTCTGAAAACTTGGAGATATTGTAAAAGTGTGAATGACAAACAGTTGAGGTATTTATAGAAGCCATTTGGGCAACGTTTGAGAAGCGGAAGAGTTGAACCAATAACCTTCGTGGGTTTCTCAATGATCGTGCTGACAGCGACCTCTGTGCAGCTTTTGAGTCACGTCATTTAATGCTCTGACGGGCTGACATCATGATGGAAATATCGAAGAGGCAAGAATTCAAGGCCGTTTCTTATCATTTTTACTCTAAGAAACGAGGGGACTATCTGTATACGGCTAAAATCGGAGAGTCCAGTTTTATGATCATTATAACGCTCCATAGCCCGTCTCCAGAAGGCTCGAGGAACAGCTCGAGGTTCGACCCCGAGGGTTCCCTATGCTTGACCTCGGGGCAGTGCAAATCGGTGTGTATGATGGACAAGCGGGAAATTCTCAAAGCACGTGGTTAGAGCTGACCAGGTCTACAAGGATAGTACAAGTCCATACCGTGACATTAAATGGTTGTACCAGCCGTATATCTTTGTAATAAATGGCTGTACCAGTCGCATATCTTTGTAATAAATGCGCATGTACTATGTTGGGATTCACCCTCCTATATAAAGGGGACCCTTGTCATCTCTTGCGCACATGATATTGAATACAAGAACAAGAACATTCTCTGCTCTCTAACTTAAACATTCTCCATTGTCTCTCTTTTGATTTTATTGCTTATATTTATTGTGTTCTATCAACTGTTCTTCATTTATTGCTCATCGTTGATCATAAAGAGCCACCATCAGGGCTCTCAGAATTGTTAGTTCTTCATCGGTCGTCCTCAATCGGACGCTTTAGCTCGACCCTGTGGCCCGGCTTAGGCTAGCTCGATGCCCCGATTCACCACTGTTCGGTTTGAATAACGACACTGCTTCTCACTCTTGCTTTACTTTTATAGCACACACTTAACATCTATCATCTAAGAACTAGCACACAGTCAAATATAATTGTAATTACTATTTTCAAGGTAAACAATAACACTGTGGAACAAAACGTAAAGTTGAAACTAAAGCGGGGTCCTCGTTAATTCATAATACTATTTCATCTTGGGATTTTTCCGACACGAAAGAATGCAAGTTCAGAAAGCAAGGAATGGATTAAAGTTGTATATGTTTATTCATGAAAGAATGTCACCAAAAGAAGCATATGAATTTTTATAACAGGACACGTTTGTTTGAACACAAGACATGACTGTTCATGAATGAGTCTCATCGTTAGTATGTACCTGACAAGACTATCTATCTATTCATTGTTATTATTTCATCTGTCTCAATTTATGTGATAGTAGAATTTATCTACTCAATTTATGTGATACAATTTTTATGGAAGAAATTAAAAAATAGTCAAATTTACAAGTGGTCGTTCAAAAATAGCCCTTCAAAAGTAATCGAAATTTAGCCACTTTTCATGTAAAGATAAATTTGAGCAAAAATACTGTTCAAAAGCCAGAAAATACGCCAGTGTATTATGCTGGAGTTCCAGCATAAGTATATTTGAACTCTAGCATATTATACTGGAGTTCCAGTATAAGTATGCTGGAACTCCAGCATACACTACTAAAAATCCGGAAAAAAGCGACCAAAATTTGGCGACCAAAATTGGTCTATCAAGAAAAGCGACCAACGTTGGTCGCTAAATTGGAGAAAATAATTAAATAATTATTTTAAATACATTAGTCACCAAGATGGTCGCTTTTTGGTCGCTAATTTGGTCAAAATATTGACCGGACTCGCCAGACTTGCTTGGTCAAAGAAATACTGAAATTAGCGATCAACTTTGGTCGCTAAAGTGGGACCCACTTATAAAATTTTAATAACTATATTATTATTTAAAAAAAATATAAAATATAAATAAATATAATTCAAAATTAGCGACCAAAGTTGGTCGCTCACGAAAGAGGAAGCAGATAGAGACCAACTTTGGTCGCTAATCTGGGACCTAGTTATAAATTTTTAATAATTATATTATTATTTAAAAAAAATTATAAAATATAAATTAATATAATTCAAAGTTAGCGACCAAAGTTGGTCGCTTACTAAAGGGGAAGCAGATAGAGACCAACTTTGGTCGCTAATCTGGGACCCAGTTCTAACGTTTAACAATTATATTATTAATTTAAATATTGTATAAAATATAAATAAATCTATTTAAATTTAGCGACCAACATTGGTCGCTAATTTTAATTTTCT